AACTTACATGACGTCAGTGACCTGATTACATATAATTATCATGTGCACTAAGGCCAAAGTTTAGGCAGGAAATACTGTTGGAACATGCCTGAAGTGACTGAAGATGTGACTGTTTAGCCTGTGAAAGAGTATCAGTTCAGATGAATGATGTATGATTGACAAGCGAGTGAGTGATTTGATTGGTTTAGATGTATGGGGTGACCAAGTTGCCAGAGATCTGCACTCTTTGCCACTGGGAATTGCTGTGAAGCGTTGCAGGGAGCTGTGCTCGTCAGCTCTGAAGCATCGTTGTGACTGATAGACTACAGATGCACTGAAGTCTCCTCAGAGAATCTACCCTGAAGTGGAGGTTACAGCTTACTGTGGGTAGCAACCTTGAGTTGAGTATATGGCCAGAGAACCTGGGGGGTCAAAAGATTTATGGGGTTCTGCATACTTACCTGGATAGGTAAAGTATATCCTCTCCTTTTTGAGGTATGGGAACCTAGTTTCTGTCCTGGCTGGAGAAACTCAGCTGGGAAAAGTCTCAAGAGTGTGTGGGGTAAGGATTGTGTGAGAACACATACTTACCAGAGTGTTCATCTCAGGAATGACTAGAAATAGGTAATATTCCTGTGTGGGGTTGATATTAGTGGTTTGAGATTTCCCTATGTATGTGTGTGTAATGATAGGTTTGGGAGTTTGGGTGCTAGTGATATTTGTGTTGGTATTTCTGTTCCTATTTGCATTACTGTTTGTGGTGGTGAAAAGGTTTTGAGAAAGCAAGTCCTCTGAGAGTGAGTTTGAGTGAGCTGAGTGCACTGTGAGAGTGAATATATCTAAGTGCTAGGGTTATTAGGCAATTGCTGCTACTGCCCACTCCTACTGAAGAGAAGCCAGAAGGCTCAGCCTGCTCAAGAGTTCCTATGCTGGGGAATTTAATATCAAATCTGTTTAGCAGTTGTTAATATTTGTGAATAATTGTGCTCTTTTTATATAGCTGTTTTATTGAATTTCTTTATTTCTTCACCGGTAGTAAATTTCCTATAGAAGCCTGAGGGACACCCAGCCTTGGCTACTTGTTTCATTTTGTACCAAGCTTAGCTGGCCAAATTTCAAGCTTAAATAGTGGACCACTTCCTAATAGCAGGAGTGCCTTGGTTATTTTGGAGTCTGAACCATTCATAAATTTATTGTTTACATATTCAGAATTTGAGTTCAGTTCTAACAGTTGGTATCCCTAACTAGCATAATTATTGGTGTTTATTAACAGTTGGTTAACAGATGGACATCATTTGCATGAGGACCAATATTGCATTTATCCTCAGTTTTGTGACTTGACCTCTATTGGAGTCAACAATGGAAGCCCCCTTCGATGTGCTGGCCTCCTTGTTCTAGGCTATATATCAATACAATAAAAAGTAACTCCTAAATAGATTGTTTTAGTGTTGTTGTAGCCATGATGGTTTGGGCAAGCTGGGAGATCAAGGCCTCTCAAAAGAGAGGAGTGGAATTATCAGATTTTAATGTGTAGGAAGAATTCATGAATTAGGTAGCTTATTATATGCTATAAAACCAGTACAAGTGACCGTCGCCATATGTGGGGGATATGTTCTTGTATTCTTCGTGAATGGTGAAATCTGCAAATAAGGCACTGCATTCATGAACGCAATCTTGTTCACGAATGCAATGCCCCCAGTGGCTGGCGGGGGGAAGGCACAGCGACGGCGGTGACAGCAGGAGCGTGGTGGCAGCGGGAGCCTTGCGGCAGCAAACAAAAACTCCTTGGGAGCTAGTGCAAGTGTATAAAGTGTATTTAAAATGTGGGTTCGGCATTCGCGAATATTTGAAACCATGAATGCCGAACCCATGAATAGCAAGGGTGTCCTGTATCAGTGGTTTTTAGTGTCCGGATAGCTTATGAATTTTTGTTCCCAAGTTCATGTAAGATATGTAGATTCCCTTTGAGCATGAGGATAGTGAAGTCAAATGGGGTGGTTGTTCTGTGAGAAATGTGCTCCAAATGGTGTATGTGGGTCTTTGTCCTTTATATTTTTTCTGTGAGAATTCATTCTGGTGTGTAGTTGCTATTTAGTTTCACTCATGTTGTTACCATGAGCATATTTGGTACATTGAATCAGATATATCATATTTTGAGATAGACATGTGAAAGAACCATGGGTTCTGATGGTGTTTTTTATAGTGGGGTGTTGATTGTAGCAGCTGTGGAGATATGTTGACAGATTAAGCATTTATTGCTGAGGCAAGGTGGTGTCCCACTTGATGTCTTGCTGGGCACTGAAGAGCTTGATTTGGATGATGAATTGAGCAGGGTTAAGAGGCTGTTTGAAAGCTGGGAGTGGAAGGGCTGGTAATATTTCTCTCAGGGTCTGGTCTTCTTGGAGTATAGGCTGTGGTTGATTCTTCTGATCAGTTCCAGTGTAGGGTGGGTGTGTGGTCACAAGGGGGTTCTTGTATTGTAGCAGGTTACTGAGGAGTATTTGGATAGCTGTTTCAAATGTATGGTCTGTTTCTCTACTGGAGTGTCTCTGTTGTATAAAGAAACATTTGAGGCTAGACAGGTGGGAATCATGACTGTTCTCCTCATAATAGATGAGGTGGGAGCTATAGATTATGGCTCTTTTTGGTGTGCTTCGGATGATTTCTGTGGACATAAATATAGTGATCTTGGGTTGTTTGTATATGGTGGTTTCTGCAGTGCTATTGCAGATGTGGACTGTGGTATTAGAAAGTTGATCTTGCTGTCGGAGTGTTCTAGGGAAAGTTGATTTTGTGGTGATAGTTGTTAAACCTGTGGTGGAAGTCAATAAATGAGTCCAGGTGTTCAGTCCAGACAATAAAAATATCACCTACATAATACAGGTATGATGCAGTTTTCATGGTGCAGCTTTCTGCCATTTTTTCCTCCAGCTAAGTCATGAGGTTGTTAGCATACTGAAGGGCTATCTTTATGTCCACAGGTGTGCCCACAATTTGGAAAAAGTGACAACTGTTGAAAGTGAAGTTTTTGATTAAGATAAAGTGGATGATTTGTGCAATATGTTTTATGCAAATTTAGGTATATTCTGTGTTCTTCTATGTATTTCAGGCAGGCAGCTTTGCCTTTGTGGTGTGGGATATTAGTGTACAGGTTAATGACCCTCCTTCTTATTGACAGATCATGATCTTCAAATAATCACCTTCTTTTCTTCTGCTAAGTGTTTGTCTCCCAACACAAACACCAACAAACTCTCTCCCCGCTTTGCCTTAATAAGAGTATTTGTTCCCGACAGCTGCCAAAAAAACATTTTTTCCAACTATTTAGTTGGTCTAATAAAAGATATCGCATTTACCCAAAGAACCTTGTCTGCCTATCTCCTACCCTTGGGAATTTCTCTCCCTCCTCTTTCAACTGTTTTTTAATATGCTGTGCTGGCTTTTAACTCCTCAGACCTGAAGAAGAATACCTTGAATTCAAAATCTTGTCAAACTATCTCCTGGCAATGCCAATAGAAGATATAACCCTAAGAAATCCTTGCTTCTCACATAATTCCTAAATTGAGCAACATATAATTTGCTATTTATACTTTATATGGGATTGATTACTTGTATAAGGCTAGTTGAGAGTCTTTTGGGTGGGAGACATTTTAAAATATCAGATCTTGGAAGACAACAACATATAAAGTACAAGTCCTCAGAGTGAAAGAATGTCTGTTTTCCCAGAACATACATACATATGGATTGCTCTCTCAAGGCTACATTAATTTTAGATTTTTCTAATTATCTTCATTATACAGTTGAACTACAACTTTCAGAAGCAGCATCACATAAATGTTATATTTTCCAGCAAGAATCAATACTACAAGGCATCTCCAACTCCAGGATCTAATAGAAGAGTGGACATAAACCATTTTATTATCTAATAGAAATTAAAATTAATTATGCCGTTTGTTACTGCCAGACCTACTTATTCTTAAATTTTCAAGACATGAGTGAATATGAAATACCTGTATGAGGTTACCTAATTTTTGACCACACATGCTTAAATCTATTTAAGCTGAAATTATTGCCATTAAGTGTCATTAGGGTTGAACTGGTTCCTTGACAGGTACCTTAATGAAATAGGTTTCCTGAGAAGAGGTTTTTGACTAAATAGAATGTGTGCCCTCCACTGCACAGTTAAAGATTATTTATTTAGGTCGTTACAAATATTTTTTCAGAAAGTAGGTTAGAGGTGCACCTCACAGACTAACTGAATCAGAGATGTATAAGTTTTCATGAATAACAGCTCACTTCATTAGATGCTATAAGATACATTTAGAACAAGACATTTTGTGGAATTCTTAGTATAAATAAATGCAGACACATTTTGTGAGTCACCCCCAGTAATGCCAACTCTCATGAAAAAATCACAAGACTCCTAATTTCCAAGTTAAATTAACTCTGACTCATGATCTCCTGATAGAGATCAATTCTCAGGATTTTTTCTTCTGGAGCATGTAGAGCATGCCAAGCTGATAAGTGTATGGAGGGGAAGAGGCAGGGGGAGAAGGAAGGGGTGGGGGAGCAGATCGAGGACCCCTGGTAAGGGAGGGAGTAGGGCAGGGGCTGGAGTGAATGTAGCCCTGGGGCCGGAGTGAGTCATGCAACAGAGCCGTGGGTGACTGCTGGGGGGGGGTGTGTGTGCGTGTGCGTGTGCACTCCTCACTTCCAACACTCCCCAGCCCTGCTGCTGCCGCCCCTCACTCCTGACCCACAGTACCCTGCATCCTGCCAGGGTGTATGGTGACCCCGCCTCTCCAGGCTCCAAACCCCCCACACCTTCACAACTAACTCCCCTCCGCACATACACACACATACTTCCAAAATAGCATCTCATAATTGACATTTCAAATCTCTTGATTTTTAAGAATTTGTCTTATGGTTTTTGACACAGTGGGGTTGGCAATCCTGCACCCCTCATTTCCTGATTACACTATCAAATAGTAATCTTCTAGATGATAGCATTATAAATCTCTCACCGGACAGCATATGTCATGCGGTCAGGCCGAATGGCTCTCATTATGCACAGTCGCTGCAGAGCTGACTTGTTCTTCCACTCCTGAGGGAACTTCTCCTTTTCAGGACATTCAGATTCTACAAATTTTTTCCAGCGTTTAGCAGACCCTTCAATATCCCGATCTAAATTCCGGAACTCCTCCATGGATGTCAGAGCCTGGAAAAGTTTAGTAAACTACTTAATAACTGAGATTCTGAAACATTTATTACAGTTACTAGCTATAAAAGTTTTGCCATTTTTCAATGGTTAAAGCAGTGGTTCTCAAACTTTTTAGATTCAAGGTACCATTCGTTAGACTTAAGGAACACCTTGGACAATGTCAGCTCTTAATTTTCAAGATTTTTTTTTAACTACAGAAAAATAATATAGCAAATATTCTGCTGCAAAGAACTCAGAAGACCACAATAAATCAAAATATTTTTGACAGTATGGTTTCCTATTTGATATCTTTGAGTTTATCTTGTGAATCATGTAGACATTTGCACACCTAACAATGCTAATATTTTGTTGCACCCCATAGCACCCTAAAAAGGCTTTCACTGCACCACAGGATGCCAGAATGCCCTGGCTGAGAATTACTGGATTAAAGCAGTAGCATGTGAGCCAGGGTGCCCGAGTTCTGCTCCTGGCTCTCACTTCTTTGCTTCCCAACACATTACCCAGAAATGAGAATCAGTAGAGGCCACTGTGCAAAAAGCATGAACATCTTCCCATATCAGCAGGCACACAGCAGGGAAGAATTTAAAGGTGCCTATACACGTGCTTTGGGTTAGCAGGGAGCGGGCATTTTAATTAGAGCAGCTCTCAGATGCTTCTCTAATTAATGCTGCAGCATCTTATGTATTCAGCATCCCACATTTCAAAATGGCCATGGGGGTACTTTAACTAAAACTTGTTTGATGAGCTTTAGTTAAAGCATTCATGCAGTCATTTTGAAACACGGGATGCTGAATACATGAGATGCTGCAGCATCCCGGCTTTTTAATTAGAACGCTCCAGCAGACTCAATTAATTGAGTCTGCTCTGATGCATTTTAATCAGAATGTGTTGGAGCATGTGTATAGGCACCCTAAGTGGTTATTTTACAGACATTTTAAGATCTGTATCTGACTGCAAGCAAAGAGCAATACCGCCAACCCTCCTCTGACTACATTTATGTTCCATACTTTTGACATGAACATTTTCTGTTTAATAGTCCTGAGATGACCTGCCAAAACCTCCAAATCAGTTTGGAAAAAGATTTGGAGATTCAGGCAGTCCCCACTTGCCACCGCAGGGACCTGGACCTGGGCTCCATGCCAGTAAGTAGGGGGCAGGGCTGGAGGAGGGGGGAGGGGACATTGGGGGGACCCCTGTCAGGCCCCATCTCCTCCCTGCTCCCCCAGCCCCCCTACCCCCGCCCCCTCTCCCCCCCCCCCCCACAAGT